GGAATGCAACCTGGAATGCAAGGAGGACCAGGAATGCAGGCCGGGCCAGGGATGCAAGGTGCCCCTGGAATGCAGGCTGGGCCGGGGATGCAACCGGGCATGCAAGGAGGCCCAGGTATGCAAGGCGGCCCGGGCATGCAAGGTGGCCCAGGCATGCAAGGAGGCCCGAGAATGCAAGCAAACATGGTTGCAATGAGTCAGCAGACCCAGGTAAGCATTTCTCACAATGTTGATTATCGAGTAGAAAATCTCATTTAGTTCAACACAGTGTGTGGGTTTGGTAGGAAGCTGGGTCACATCACCATTGGTTGAGTAGACAAACACTCTGGCTTAGGTTTTGGGTTCATGTTTCACATTGTAGAATTCCTTAAAAAAAACATTTGACAGGTCTGACTCACGTAAAGTAACTCATTCATACTGAGGCGCAGGTCGTTTAGAATCTGCAGATTGCTTGTGTTTTTAATTGTAATTTTTGATTTTGAAATGGTTCTGGTGCTTTACTGAGCACTTTGAATTTTTTTTAGCTTTAAGACTTGTCATAATGTTTTGAAATGCTTGTTTATCCAGTGAAAATTAATTCTTTGATATTGTAGACAACTAATAATAGGTCAGTTACCAGTACTGTGTAGTTTTAGTAGAATAGTGTTACTTATTAACAGGGCCTTAGGGATCTGCCATGATAAGTTCTTTACTTTTCTGCTAGAGAGATTATTGTATAAAATACTGAATATGTAGGTATGAACGCTACCATGCTTATACTTATGCAAGTATTCAGTGTCAGAATTGAAAGAACATGGCATCACAAGGCTTTATTTTGGCTTTGTGTCTCGTAGTGCAATACCCTTTGCGGAAAACTTGCAACGTATCCCCACTGAATTCAGCTCTCCCTCTGGGAGAGATGGGCCAGTGCAGAAGTCCTCCTCTTCTGTGATACGATCCCTTCATAGTGTATGTCACCATGATGGCAAGGCTTAGCTTTGGATCATCCATTGCAATAGCTGGACGTGAGAAATAAAGAACTTATCTTGATGTTACAGGCAGAATCAGCTAAGGTACGGCAGCCATCTCTTTCAAGTGTCAAAAAGGTAACACTGCAGTTGATAATAACCTTAAAGTGAGATAGGAGGAACATGAATTATTGCTCAGCTAGAGCTTGATGTAAATGGAATGCTAATAGTGTCATGAATATCCCTGCAAATGAAAAACATTGCAGATTGCTGGAAATATCAGGTGATGTTTCCTGCAACACTGTAGTTGTTCAATTATTTATAAGACAAAAGGATTTAAAACAGTTGAACCAAAGGCTTGAGGTGGTGGTCCCTTGCAGTAAGAAACAGCATTTGTTGATAATATACATAGCCAAAGGGATGTGTGTACAGACATGCACATGTATGTGTGCATGCTTACACACATGCTTTCAGATACACAGATATGCATGTGCACACACACACAGGTGCATGCACTCCTATGCCCTGTCACATGCACACCTATGCTCTGGTGTACACACACACACACACACACACACACACACACACACACACACACACACACACACACACACACACACACACACACACACACACTCACTCACTCACTCACTCACACTCTCACACTCTCACACACACACATTCATAGTTACACTCAGATGAACATTCACATATACACAGTGCTAATCTCTTTAGTCTAAGAATCCTTCAAGTCGGTTCCATGCAAAACTGGCTAAACTTTTACGGCTAAACCGTAAAAGTTTCCCCGTGGCCCAAGGTGTGGTATTGTTGACGTAAGGGAAGGTGACATCAAAGGGTGGGAAGGCTAGTACATTGTGCAACTCTTTAATGTCAACTGTTCTGATTCCTCAATCCATTCAGGGCTTCCGGCAGCATTGCTCATTTTCTCTCTCTCTCCGTTGCAGGGTCGGATGGGGATGCAGATGAGTCAGGCCGGAGGGATGGGTGGTGCCCAAGTCACCTCCCAGTACCCAGGCCAGCAGGGGCAGATGACCACCATGGGTCAGATGCCCACCGGCCCCAACCAGATGATGGGCAACCCAGCGGCCCAGGGCAGGAACCCAGCAGCTATGTCGGGCATGGCTGGCTCTCGTAGTCCAGCCGCCATGGCTCAGATGAGTGGCACCGGCCACCCGATGAGTCCTGCCAACCGAGGGCAGATGGGAGGAGCTAGTCCTGTTAACATGGGCCAGATGAGTGGTCCAGGCCAGGCCCCCAGTCCAGCCAACATGGGCGGCATGGCCCACCCACGATCTCCTGCCACAATGGGCCAGATGCACCCCCGTAGTCCGGCTACCATGGGTCAGGGCGGACCCTCGAGACCACTCAGCAACCCTGGGATGGGTCAGGGCGGGCCCACGCGACCCCTCAGCAATCCGGGCATGGGTCAGCAGCAAGGGCCGACGTCCCAAGCAGCTGCGGCTGCCATGGGTGCAGCGGCCATGGGAGTGCAGCCGCCTGGAAGCACAGCTGGTGCCATGAACCGCGGGTCCCCTGGAGGAATGAACCAAAACCCCAGTGGTCCCCCCGGCTCCAGACCAGGCCAGAGCCCCATGAGCCAGGGACAGGCGATCCAGGCCCCAGGGAACGGACCGCAGGCTAACATGAACAGAGTTAAAAGTGGCCCTGCAGCAGTGAACAGTGGACCTAATGCACCTCAAACTTCAGTGGCCAGTCAAAGGCCAAACAGTGATGGAAATAACAGTGTACGGACATCACAACCCTCGACCCCCAACCCGCCCACCTCCAGCAGTAATGCCTCGGCCGCAGACTTTGAATTTGACTTTGGTGATTTTGCATCATTGATAACTGACTGAGGTGGCTCTGGGGTCGGGCCCGGTGACGCGTGTCACTGCTGTATATATGAAGCATTCCTGTAGAAGTGTTATATAGTGTACAGTCTTAATTATTCTTATTCTTATTTCATTATTATTGATAAGATATTATTATTATTATTATTATAATTATTATCATTCATTATTATTATTCATTATTATCATTATTATTATTATTATTATTATTACTAGATAACCATTTTTTATGATAATTATTATGATTACTATTATTGAATGGTCCAAGAATCAAGAGAAAACAAGTGTAATGTAGTGTAATGAAAGGACTTGCCATATCACTTAGTGTTACTGCCAAGTATTAAACCCAAGACCACAAGTGCGGCCCAGTGTTGACAGCGGTGGAAGTGCTACATTCCATGATCCCTACAGCAGGGCAGAGCTAAAGTCTACACCCTCAGTATGCGGCATCCCATGAGTCCTAATCCAGCCTCCATGCTAAGCCAACCTGGGCAAAACAGCTGAGGAACAAAAGTATTCAGCCTTCTTCCAGTTTCATTGAATTTGTGTCAAGAATTGAGTGGGCTTGGATCAGGAGCCAAGATGCCTAGGTTGGTGTTCTTGTTAATGATGGCAATCCTACTTGTAAAGGACCTTCATCTTCCTCGGAAAAGATGGATGGAAAGTGGGTTCAAAAGAGCAGCCGCCAGAGGCTTGACAAATCTGGGTCAATCATATTCCTCTCCATGACATGGGCCTTGGAGTTCATTGAAATCCAACTAGATGCAGTGTTTTGTTCAGATTTGATGTTCATGGTTAGTAAGTCCTCTCTGAGCATCTATGTTGATTTTTATCAGACAAAGTATCAGTGCAAATGTTGAAAGAAGTGTGCATATGTTAAAAAAAAGTATATAGGCTTGAACTGCAAGGTCCTATTTGTGCCAAGTATGTGTACAAAACTAATGATTTGTGACATAAACAAGTTGTATTGTTTAACAAAGACACTGTCCTCTGTTGTCAACTGAGAGTGTTGGTTCACTATGCCCCAGCAAGATGAATAGCTATGTACTCAATGTAGGTGATTTTGTAGACTTTTCCTACTATTGTAAATTAGGATCACAAAGAACACCCTTTTTTCTATCAAGTAGACTTTCCACAACCATCACTTCCATTTCCTCTCAGTATGTCTCCTCCCTTCCTCCACCACCACAACCTCCCCTTACTGCCGCCACATGTCCCACCATGCAGTTCAGGCCTTTGGGAGAGATCCGCCACTGTCAGTAGTGAGTAAATTAATTCGTCCAGAGGAAATCAGTTACGTGCGCGTCGATGGGTTGACTTTGAATATTTACATTGAAATAACGATATTTTGGAATATCACGTAGACCTCCCAAATCCTGATTTCACTGCTAACAATTGAAGTGCAATGGTAAGATACCGAAGCTAAGCATGCCTTGTTTTCCACTTGCACACATCTATCTCCCGAGCACCAACGGCAATGGATGTGGTAGCTGCGGCTCTTGTGGGTTGTGCTTGGACAGTGATTAGACACCAGTATTATCTTTACTAAACTCCAGCACACACTGCACTTGTTGATGCTTCTCCCATACCAATTTGCCCAAAACCATTAGTCTATGCAGTATTAGTACCATTGTTTATTTTGTCATAGTTAAAAAAGGATTTTTACCCTGAAGATTTTTTACAATTGAGTATCATCCCAAAGTATTTACAAGATATGGAGATTTAGGCATGAAAAAGCTTCAATTTAACACTGGAAAGAAACACAAAACTAAACTATTTTTATATGTGACTTGTGCAGCATAGGACAAGAAAGACATTGTGCTGAGTCTGCATTATTGCAACATATTCCTGTCATAGAGCTTCTCTCTGTTGGGCTTTGTTGTGCAACTTGGTTATTATGTACAGCATTATCTTCACCCAGTGATTCTCAGGTATTTTTGCAGTGATACAACCCTCCAACTTATACATTATCCCCATAAATAATTATATATTTATTTCCTTCTGTAAACATTTCATACGCTCATTATTCTTTGATCAGCTGCAACGTCTCTTCAGTAGTTGTCATTATATTCTGGAGCCTATTCAGGGATATGACATTCTTCAGGTGCATTTCCTTCCATATACTTTTTTTTCTCTTGGAGTCGCACAACAAAACCAACAGAGGGGAAGAGAGAAGCACGGGCCCTCTGCTGCAGTCCTGCAACGAGAATCACACCCTGCAGATGTATACCATATTGACCACAAGGACAGGAAAAAAAAAAAAGAATGTATACTCTGAAAATGGAATTCTCTATTATATATATATATAACATTATATTCTTGTCAGAGTATTTGATGCTGGTCGTTCATGGGCGTGCTTCTCACAGTTGTCTGGGTGGCAGTACGGCAACGTGAACACAGGTCCTTCCTTGAGTGCGTGCTACACGTTCGCCAGTGTACAAACTTGTAGGTAATAGTCCATCATATAAAGGAATGAAGGGGAGATACTGACTTGTCCATCGGCATCATTTTCTTATTTGAAATCATTTGACATTCGAACAGCAAAAGAGGAAAAGAAGAAGAAAGGAAAAAAAAGAAAAAAAAAAAAAGTTTTAGGAAATGTTATATAGGCAAGAACCATTCTTCCATATCATTTGTAGGATCTCCAGAAAGTATGGTCTGTGTTAAGAGGAAACTATGACTTCATGTAAGGGAATGATTTCTGGCCAGATCAGTAGTTGCCCATAAACGTGCCTATGAAGTCAGTGAAAACATTGGTTGTGTAGCAAGTATCTTTTCCAGAATACATATTTTCTGAATGTTTGTTAAAGTTCAAAGTGTACAAATTAAGCCCTATTTTAAGTGGCAGTGTGTTTTCACTGATTTTAGGTACATCAGGTTTTATAATGCAAATTAGAAGTTTGTACATAAGTGACACAATCATAAATTATGAGACTTTGGTAGTTTGTGTCACCAACATTTGTTTTCCAAATTTCGTAGTGGAAGTGAGCCTTAAAAACCAACTACCCAAGGCTCATAATCGGTGATACTATCACATCTTTTACTGAAGATGGGCATCAAAGCATTTGAAAATACTTCTTCTTTCTTGACACTTTTTTTTACAAATTATTTTCATTTACTGACATAGAATAAAAGATAGAAAAATTCATCATTTTAATTTTTTTTACAAAACTATTTTAGCATGGTAGTATTGATTTGGACTTTCGTAACCCTTGTTCTCTCCAAGATAAAGCTCACGAAGACAAAATGAATTAGAATGACAGTTTAAAAAAAAGCTCATTTAAATGGAATTAAAATGACACTTTCTACCTAAGGTGCAGCATGGCTTTTGCTATTGCATATTTAATTTTAATATCATATACAGGTTTCTTTAAATCTTCTTTGTATTTTCTTACTGTACTTATTTTATCATAGTTTTTATAAATATACATCAAAGGTGTGTTATTTTGTATAAGCATGTGTCTGCAACATAGTTCTAATAGTCATCATTCAGAATAGTGAGATTCCAGAAGAGTCTGGGTTTATGTTTGTGAAATTTATAATTTTCCTCTCCTTCCACTCTGTACCTGTCGTCTCATTTCCACCAGTCATGCTTTGATTGCCCGGAGGAGGTTAATATCTGGAGTTCAGATGGAAATTTTCGTCACCTGGGGTTGCCTATGGTCAGATTTCTCACTCCCCGTGATTCCCTGTGTGATCAGAGGTAAAACTGGAGAGCGCATTAGATTCGTCTGAACTGCAGGTGTACTCGAATCAGATTCTTCTCGTGTGACCCCAGACAGTGCCGCACCGCCACCACGACAGTGTCTTGCATCACCTCGCATCGTTTCATCGACTGCACCCCAGCCACCTTTGAAATCTTGAAGCGGAAAGGCTGTGCTTATTGTCAGGACTTGAGAACAGTATTCCTTTTTAATGTATTTATATATATATCTATATATAACTTTCACCCTTCTGGCTGTACTTGGTGCATTTTAATATTATTCCTTGTAAATATTTTACAGACAAGAGGCTGTTTTTATGCAAGCTACTGATTGTTCTGACTATCTCTACCATCACCTGTGATACCTGTGGTATTGAAGGTAATGAAAACCCAAGTCTGCCACACTGGGAATGATACCATTTGATTATTTTCTTTCTATTATCATCATTACTATTGTGTTAATTTTCCTAAGTTTAGCAGCCCAAGTGACAAACAAGAAACAAAGGTCGCTGAGGTGTTTGTACCGCAATAATTGTGGTACAACATTTAGTTGAGGAGGCGGCTCTGGTAAACTCTGTGAGCACATTCCTCGATCCCGCCGTGTCTTGTTGGCTGGTAACTGGCATAGTGTAAGATATGAGGATTGCCGATACAGCAGATGGAAGCTCAAGGGGCACAGAAAATGAGCATTTCGTGAAGCAGAAACGTGCTCTAGAGATGCAGTAAATGACTGTATTCTAGGGCATAGGTTTAGGGGGAGAGCTGTAGCAAGAACACCACCAAGCCAAGGACGAAGAAACAGGAAGGTGGGTGCGGCACACTGACCCCCTGGCCACACCTGTGACCAGATGATCTCAGCCGACGTACTTAGGTCACAAAGTCATTTGCTTTGTATCATGTCATCCACCGGCTGGCATGCCATCCTTGCAGATATGTACATATTGTTGTCATTTCAAATGCAATAAAATAGTTTCGGTCATTTATGTCTGTCAATTACCCTGCTTATACATAAAAACTTGGTAGAGGGGTTGAAACAACAATTATATGAAATACATTTATTTACTATATGTTCATATATACATATTGTTTTTCATTATACAAAAGAGTTATATATATAAAGTATTATATAAGTAACCGATAATGATGATAAAAAAACTAACTAATGACAAATAACTGCTGGAACTTATTTACAAAAGTTATACATTTGATCTTGCCTTTACCTTATTTTGGTGTTAATGCAACAAAATTAATAATCAATAACAAAAAATGGTCTAGTTAATTATCTGTACTTCATACACAACTTATCATAAAGACAACACAAGTGGGCAGAACAAAGAAACCAAGCAAAAAAAAAAAAAAAAACATTTTAGTGCTTTTCTAGTGCCAGTTCCAGCAACTCGTTCATGGAAGAAAGAACCGTACGAGGATCGTCCACAAGTCCTGCTAGCACCATACCATTGTTGAAGAGCTGGAAAGAAATAAGATCATTAAACACCTCTTTAACTTTATACTAAACCTTCCATATCCTATCCACAAGAACATTCTCTAATAGTTTTATAAATTGAAATAAAAAAAAAAAAAAAAAGGAAAAGTTCATGGAAAATGTTTCTACAATTTTAACTGATGTAAGAACAAAAGCCAATGATATTACCTTTATCTACATTTTTACTCTGAAGCATACATGTTTTTTTTTTATTGCTAACAAAATTCCCAGTACTTTGATATCATATATTTCACTGATTTCTACAGTTGATTTAGCAGTTTTATCTTTCCTCATAATCACTCTGATTAAAAGAGACTTACCTGCTTTGCTGTCAATTCAGCCAGCCGGGGATTGGTCTCGCGCAGGCTGTTCAACTTGACTATTACTGGGTGGCTGTAAATGGAGAGGTAGAAGTTACTGTTTGAAGTATTTGGATATGTAATGAATAAGTAAAAAAAAAGCATCATATGAAAGTATAAAATAATTCAGAGTTAGTATGTATTTTCTCTCTGAAGTTGAGCATGGAAACATGAGGGTACTTTATCACAAACAATTTAGTGTCTTATACAACAATACAACTTATACAATGTAACTCAAATAAAAGCAAATGCACTTGTAAAAGTAAAAACTCCAGTATCTTTACTAGCGAGTCAAAACTATATATCTATTACATATCTCCAATTACACATCAGATACCAATCAACAACTACAAATCTCTTCAAAGTTTTGATTACCAACTTAAAACATATCCACATCTAACTTTAAAACACAAAGTGGTGGATAAAAGATCACATATTTACTTAGGGTTAATCTCCAACTGAGGCTGCAGGAGCGAGTATCTGGCTTCCTCTGAGACTTGAGTGAACTGCGTCTTCACAAAGTGCCTGGCGGCCCCCATCTCCTCCACCGTCACCACACAAGGATGAGTCTCTAAACGGGGTGTGGCCTTAACTGTCCAGCAACGACCAGCTAGCACAGTCTTCAACCAGTTCATCAGTTCATTGGCCTCAGTGCGGCGCAGACCACTTTCAGCTGAAATAGGACATCAAAAGTGTTTACATTCTACTGGAGAAGAATGTTCACTAGACAGACAGACAAGACAGACACACAATCTCTCTAAAGAGCAAATTCATACTATTATTTTTTTTAAAGACTTGCAAAGCCCAATAACATATAAGGTTAAACAAACAACAAAACAAGAAAAAAAAAAAAAGTTCTTAAAATTAAGAAAGTGGAGAAAAGCGATTAAAGGGAAAAATACATACATAAAAATGATGTAATAAGAATTATTTTTAAAAACTATACATATAAATGGTACATAAATAAAAACTAGTGAAAAAATAAATATGAAATAAAAACTTCTAATAAGCATATAAACTGAAAAACATAAAAATCCAACATTCTTCTAACATTCCGAACATACATCCTAAAGTAATCATAACCCAAATTTTGATACAATTCAAAAGCTATCTGAACAACAGCACCTTCCATTAAAAAAAAAGTGAAGATAAATGCAATACAACTCGCAAAAAATAAAGAACAGAAACGAGACCAAACCCCAACAGCCCAACCCACCGTCATCGAAGTTCACGTCCTCCTTGTCCTGCCTCAGCTCCTTCTCGACGGACACGATCTTCCGGGAGCCAAACTGCTGCAGCTGCATCAAGACCACCTCATCGTAGGACTCGTAGCAGAAGAGGACTTCCACGTTGCGTTTCTGAGGGGAAGGACATGTTTAGAAGTTCGCTATTAAGAATTAGCTTGTGATTGACCACTATTTAAAAAAAAAGAAAGAAAGCAAGCAAGCAGCAGCAGTTGCAGCATGTTGATTTCAATGTCCAATTGAGGAGAGGTTCATGAATATGCTAATCAAAAATGGATTCAATTCTATGTCCCATATATGCAGTCCCATAAAGATATGCTAGTACGGAGAAAAAGAAAAAGAAACGAAGAAAAAAATTAACAATATGCAGAGACAATGAATCTTGCACAGGAATATATCTTAAATCAACTCTTCCATAATTCTGAATTCAGAAGCTATTATAAATATGATTAACAAGGCTGTCCTTTAACTAGATCCATGCACTCTTGAGGAAGTAACACAGTTTGCAGAGTCACTGGAACTTGCTACCCTAGTCATTACCATTTCCCTAAGCTAGTTATTACAAAACATTCAGATTCACTGTGATCTCCCACATGCAATTTGTCAATGACCAAAAATCAACTACTAATTAATCTTAACCCAATGGATCCAAGTGACTTTAAAATGAAAGGTATATGCTGTCATTAAAGCATTTGGCTGAGGGCTGGGTGACCAAAAAGTCATCCTGAAAAAATTGGTTAAAGGCCGCAGTGACGGGAATGATGCCTCATGAGTGCAGAAAGCTCTCAGGGGAGATCTTGCATTATATCTAGTGGTAAATAAGGGCGGAATGTACCATCTGTGAGCCAAGGCTGGAAGAGTACTGCCTCCAGGGAAGACACTATTTTGCTCAGGGTCCTATTCCTGCCCATTGTGAATGGGGTCACAGGGTGTATTAAAGAAAATTGAATAAATAGATAATAGCAAAATTAGGTAAACAGTCTATTACTATCTTCATGTAGCATATCAAATGATAAATAATGGCCTTCAAAAATGGCAAAAATGAAAAACACACTTATGGAGAAAATGAGGTAAAGAGGCTTGACACTGCGCATGAGTGCAGTGTGGCTTGTCAAATCCACAAGACATACACCTAGGAGAGTTGTGACTCAAGTAAGCATAATGCCCAGATTTTGTGCAGCAAAACACCTAGATTCAGAGGGTTAACCCATTGCTGCCAGGGAAAACGAATAAATAATGGGGAAATTCTGTGCTCATTTTTTATATTTTTGTAAAATGTCCCTCTACATAGATGGCTCTGCTAGTGCTTAGCCATAATGGCTTTCACCTTTCCTTGAATTGGTGCAAAAAACGTATTTTTACTACTGCTATAAATATAGATGGTGTTATTTTTATCATTAACATTATAATTACTATAATGTTATAAACATTTGTAACAGCAAAATAAGATAACATTAAATATTTTCGTAAATCGATGAAAAGGGTGAACGGGCGAGGCAGGCGGTACTCGTAACTGGCTCATTGGTGATTTAGTATAAGTGTAGCCATCTGTGTGTAAAAATAATTAAACAAGTAAACTCACAATGGGCATGGCATGTACACACATGCCATGCCTGTCGGTAAAGGGTTAAATTGTCCAAAATATTTGAATTTTAAAGGCAAATATTCAGAGAAGATAGAAAATTATCAGTTTCTGTGCCCACACTATTATGTAGAAAGCTAGCAAAAATCATATAAGCCTCAATATTTAGAAGAGGACTAAAAAAACAAAAAAACAAACAAACACAGGCTTTGTATACAAAAAAGTAGTTGATTTCTTTCAGTTTAACAAAATGTTCACATATAGATCTGCAATTTGGTGTACCACAAAGACCTCTCTTGCTCTTGGCTCCTATTTAATTCTTGATATTTTATAAATCATCTTTATTACTGCTCTGTGGAAAGAACTATTTTGTTAACTAAAGATGCAATATTCTATGTCCAAAATCATGATTAGTCTCTCCAACAGCATTTCATTCAATTAACTTAATGTTTTACATATAGAAGGCATCTTTTTTCAAATGTAATTTAATGCCCATAACAACAAATGATCTTTAAATAAAAGATATTTCTTCATTCAGCTATCATTCCTTTCTAGAAGTAATTTTGGATACTAAGTTGACATGCAAATATCATGTAGCTCATAATTTTCTAGACTTCTCTCAGCAACAAAATAAAATAAATTCAGCATCTTACATATCCATGTATTCTATCATAACATGAAATACTGCATAAATATTTGGGAATAACAATAACTATAACTATATTTGATTTACAGGCAATGACACATTTTGCAGTTTAACCCATTCTGTACTGAAAATCATATGGATGGACATTTGTCTCTGCAATCTAAAAAACACACAGGAAACAATCAATCTTTGTAGGTATCCACATATTGATTTCCATGGCCTTTCTGTCCTTGCTAGAGCCTTTATAATGAAGCTACTTAGTCTTCATATTCAGAAAAAATGCACTATATGGCAACACCTTAATCTCAACAAATGGCAGCATTGAAGGCATAAACACCTCACTGTTTCTGGTGAACAGGAGATTGCAAATTCTACTGCCTTAACCAGCTACACCAAATATTTTATAGGTCTCTCTACCACCATCATTTGGCTCAAAAGTGGCTTGGTTTGCCTTCACAAGACTGAGATTGCTGAATGTAAACAGAACAAAACCACGTTACTAGCTTTTGCAGCTTAAGCCATTGGATCCAGGTGCTTCGCTGCCTGCCTGCGTGTCCTACCACTCAGGCATTGTAATATATTGTAGCAGAGTTTGGTTGGGAAATAATAAAAAATAATGACAACGGCCTCCTTTTGTTACCCCTCCCCCCCCGTCCATACAGCTC